AGGTTGATTTTTCTGTGCATCGGCAGGACAGAACGACAGGACCGATCGGCTCAAGGGGGGAGGTGTGTGTCTTTGTTAACAGGTGATCTCTAAAATTGAGGAAGTCTCGAGGTTCTGCTCGCCTGAGTTTTAATACCTCATGATAAGCTGCAGACCACACTATTTACCAAGAGAGTTTTCATCTATATTTTTCGTAGCTGTCTATTTACCACCAGAAACCGATGCAGGCACTAAGACCACACTCAACGAGCTGCTGGCCGGTGATTGTAATGCAGGGAAACTGAAATCCGTTTTTACCTAATTGCTACCAGCACGTCACCTGTGCAACCATTGGTGACAAAACTCTAGATCACCTTTACTCCTCACATAGAAAAGCATTCTCCCTTGCCATCCATTTGGCAAATCTGACCACAAAGCTATCCTCCTGATTCCTGCTTACAAGCAAAAACTCAAACAGGAAGTACCAGTGACGCGCTCAATAAAGAAGTGCTCCGATGAAGGAGAGCCGCACACTAATCCAGACTCTTATAAGAAATCCCGCTACGACCTCCGACGAGCCATCAAACAGGCAAAGCGTCAATACAGGACTAAGATTGAATCCTACTACGCCGGCTTTGACGCTTGTCGGATGTGGCAGGGCTTGCAAACTATCACGGATTATAAAGGGGAACTCAGTCGCGAGCTGCCAAGTGACACAAACCTATCAGTCGAGCTAAATGCCTTCTATGCTCGCCTCGAACCATGCATGAGAACACCAGTTGTTCCGGACGACTGTGTGATCACGCTCTCCATAGCCGGTATGAGTAAGACCTTTAAACAGTATTGTAAAATTGTAAAATTAACTCTGTCCATAAGGTGTAGATAGTAAGTATAGACCGGAAGTAGAGGCCTGGGCATTGTTGTTCACTAATTTACTCCAAGTAGGGAAAGGATGGTGGGGTTGAAAAGTAATAAAGGGGAGTATATATATCAAAAAAACAAACAAAAAAACATGGGGGATTGGAAGTGATGCAATATTGATAGAAGATACAATCTATCTGCAATATTAAGCTGATCCATTCCCCCCAGAAAAAAATAAAATAAAAAATAAAATAAAAATAAAATAAAAAATAAAATAAAAATAAAATAAAGACCTTTAAACAGGTTAACGTTCACAAGGCCAGACGGATTTCCAGGACGCGTACTCAGAGCATGCACTAACCAGCTGGCAAGTGTTTTCACTGACATGTTCAGCCTCTCCCTGACCCACTCTGTAATACCTACTATGTTTCAAGAAGACCACTATAGTCCCTGTGCCCAAGAACGTCAAGGTAACCTGTCTAAATGACTATCGCCCCGTAGCACTCACATCCGTAGCCATGAAATGCTTTGAAAGCCTGGTCATGGCTCACATCAACACCATCATCCCAAACAACCTGGACCCACTCCAATTCGCATACCGCCCCAACAGATCCACAGTTGATGCAATCTCTATTGTACCCACACTGCCCCTTCCCACCTGGACAAGAGGAACACCTATGTGAGAATGCTGTTCATTGACTAAAGCTCAGCGTTAAACACCATAGTGCCCTCCAAGCTCATCACTAAGCTAAGGACCATGGGACTGAACTCCTCCCTCTGCAACTGGATCCTGGACTTCCTGACGGGCCACCCCCAAGGCGGTGAGGGTAGGCAACAATGCGTCCGCCACGCTGACCCTGAACACAGGGGTCCCTCAGGGGTGCATGCTTAGTCCCCTCCTGTACTCCATGTTCCCCCATGACTGTGTGGCCACGCAGGACTAAAACACCATCATTAAGTTTGCTGATGACACGATTGTGGGTAGGCCTAATCACCGACGACGAGACAGCCTATAGGGAGGAGGTCAGAGACGTGGCAGTGTGGTGCCAGGACAACAACCTCTCCCTTAACGTCAGCAAGACAGAGGAGCTGATTGTGGACTACAGGAAACGGAGGGCCGCGCAAACCCCCATTCACATCGACAGGGCTGTATTGGAGCGGGTCGAGAGCTTCAAGTTCCTCGGTGTCCACATCACTAAGGATCTATCATGGTCCAAACACACCAACACAGTCATGAAGAGGGCACGACAACGCCTCTTCCCCCTCAGGAGGCTGAAAGGATTTGGCATGGGCACTTTGATCCTCAAAAAGTTATACAGCTGCACCATCGAGAGCATCTTGACTGACTGCATCACCGCTTGGTCAATGACCTCGTACCCCTGTACACTGGTGTATATAGCAAAGTTATCCTTATACTCAATGTGGATGTATTACTTTTTTATTATTTCCCTATTTTCTTTCTCTCTGCATTGTCGGGAAAATCTTTAATTTACATAAGTATTCACACCCCGGAGTCAATACTTTGTAGAAGCACCTTTGGCAGTGATTACAGCTATGAGTTTTTCTGGGTAAGTCTCTAAGAGCTTTCCACACCTGGATTATGCAATATTAGTCCATTATTCTTTAAACATTTTTTAAAGCTCTGTCAAATTGGTTGTTGATCATTGTTAGAACACCATTTTCTGGTCTTGCCATAGATTTTTGAGTAGATTTGACTCAAAACTGTAACTCGGCCAATCAGGAACATTCACTGTCTTCTTGGTAAGCAACTCCAGCGTAGATTTGGCCTTGTGTTTTAGGTTAATGTCCTGCTGAAAGGTGAATGAATCTACCAGTGTCTGGTGGAAAGCAAACTGAACCAGGTTTTCCTCTAGGATTTTGCCTGTGCTTAGCTCCATTCAGTTTATTTTTTATCTTGAAAAACTCAGTCCTTAACGATTACAAGCATACCCATAACATGATGCAGCCACCACTATTTTAGAAAATATGGAGAGTGGTTTTCAGTAATGTGTTGTATTGGATTTGCCCCAAACATAACACTTTGTATTCAGGACCAAAAGCTCATTGCTTTGACATTTTGTTTGCAGTATTACTTTAGTGCCTTGTTGCAAACAGGATGCTGTTTTGGAATATTTTGTACAGGTTTCCTTTTTTCACTCTGTCAGTTAGGTTAGTATTGTGTAGTAACTACAATGTTGTTGATCCATCCTCAGTTTTCTCCTATCACAGCCATTAAACTCTGTAACTGTTTTAAAGTCACCAATGGCCTCATGGTGAAATCCCTGAGTGGTTTCTTTCCTCTCCGGCAACTGAGTAACTCAGGACGCCTGTATCTTTGTAGTGACTGGGTGTATTGAGACACCATCCAAAGTGTAATTCATCACTTAACAATGCTCAAAGGGCATTTAAAAAAATGTTTACCCATCTACCAATAGGTGCCCTTCTTTGCGAGGCATTGGAAAACCTCCCTGGTCTTTGTGGTTGAATCTGTATTTGAAATTCACTGCTCGACTGAGGGACCTTACAGATAATTGTATGTGTGGGGTACAAAGATGAGGTAGTCATTAAAAAATCATGTTAAACACTATTATTGCACACAGAGTGAGTCCATGTAACTTACTGTGACTAGTTAAACACATTTTTACTCCTGAACTTATTTAGGCTTGCCGTAACAAAGGGGTTAAATACTTATTGACTCAAGACATTTCAGCTTTTCCTTTTTAATTAATTAGTAAAAACATTGAAAAACATAACTCCACTTTGACATTATGGGGTATTGTGTGTAGGCCAGTGACAAAATAGTCTCAATTAAATATATTTTAAATTCAGGCTGTAACACAACAAAATGTGGTAAAAGTCAAGGGTTGTGAATAATTTCTTAAGCCACCGTATATCAAGTTATAACCAGAGTTTTTCTGGCCATGTGACTTGAGACCAGAATTCTTCTTGGTCAGGTCAAGTGGTAAAACTCCTGGCCCTATTTCTACCATCCATAGAGGTATTGACTTTGTTACCACTACCTCCCAACCAGGGTGGGAAATTAACTTTTCGGTCAACCAGCCACTGTGGCAGGTAGATTTAAAAAAAAATATCTACCAGCCACTCAGATTTTTTTACCAGACAAAATATTTTTCCGCCATTATTACACCAACAATCACAAATAACGGATGAGCATGCTTTGTAATGTTTCCCAAAACAAGAAATGTATTACTAGTAAGAAGTAATGTGGTAGATTGCGCAATTCAATTTCATTTTTGTGACCCCAATCTTTTAACCAAATGTATGTTCAAATAAATAATTTAGATACAATAGTAAAAAGTAAAACAGATAAACAGTTCAGATCTTCAACTGAACATCCAGAATAAATGTATTATTATAGTTCAGGGCTCTGATGCATTATCTTTTTACAAGGACTACATCAATTGATATTTAGGCGCACGCAAATAAATGTAGGAGCACAATGGAATTATTTGAGTGTTTTAATGATAAGAAATAACTCAAAGTTCATGAATAGAAGGTTTTTGGACTGTTCCGTGCTCAATCAAACACAATTTACCCCCAAATAGTTTAGTCATTAGGTGAGACAAAAATATTCTGCTGCCCCTATAAGTTCACCTGTCGTACCCCATTAGGAAAAATGTTCTGCTGCCCCTTTAAGGGGCGGGCCATTAGGAAAAATGTTCTGCTGCCCCTTTAAGGGGCGGGCCATTAGGACAAATATTCTGCTGCCCCTTTAAGGGGCGGGCCATTAGGAAAAATGTTCTGCTGCCCCTTTAAGGGTGGTAAAGGCCCTCACTGTCAGATGGTCTCCATGTCTGCACTACCAGCAGACAGCTGCAGCAAACGCAAACAAATATAGAAAAAACAACCAAGCATGTGAACAAAATGATGAGCCAAGAAACACCAGGACAAAGTCACACTTTGGTAGCTTTTCAGGTCAAGTCAACCAACTTCTACATTTGGGCTTTTTATTCCCAAATGCTGGGTGTGACCACCCGCCAACGTGGCTGGTGAAATAGACATCCTTACCCGCCAAAGCCTAAAATCGACCCGCATTTGGCAGGTGGCGGGTGTTAACATTCCACCCTGCTCACAACTGTGGCTTTTAACAACGTTTCGCTTTTCTAAGCAGACCGTCATAACGTAGTTAAAAATGGTTCCTACCTCAGATGTCTGATGATGCTGGTGGCTACACACAGGAACTGGCTGATGAGGGGTAGAGGGAGAACCTTTGGAGTGGTGTGTCCCTGGGGTGTGGAGGAAGAGGGGGCTCCCTCACCATGGGCCTCCTTCTGGCCCAGGTTGGTGAACCACAGCACGTGGAGCAGCTCTACCACAGCACTCAGCAGACCCTGGTCTACATGTCTGGAGTAGAGAACAGGGTTTTTCATTCTACAGCAATCGTGGTACTATTTTAACTCTGTTTGATTCTTCTCTAATGATGCCCCTCCCCCTACCTCTGGAGTACACTGACCCCCTCCCCCACCTCTGGAGTACACTGACCCCCTCCCCCACCTCTGGAGTACACTGACCCCCTCCCCCTACCTCTGGAGTACACTGACCCCCTCCCCCTACCTCTGGAGTACACTGACCCCCTCCCCCTACCTCTGGAGTACACTGACCCCCTCCCCCTACCTCTGGAGTACACTGACCCCTCCCCCTACCTCTGGAGTACACTGACCCCCTCCCCCACCTCTGGAGTACACTGACCCCCTCCCCCACCTCTGGAGTACACTGACCCCCTCCCCCACCTCTGGAGTACACTGACCCCCTCCCCCACCTCTGGAGTACACTGACCAACAGGTGCTTCCTGGTGAAGGCAACTTTTTTAAAAGTTTAAAATAAATAATTCACATCAGAACCAGAATGTGTGGCTAGATGACAGCCAGACAGACAGTATCTCTCACCTCCTCTCCAGCTGCTGTAGAACCCAGGTGAGGAGCCCGTGTCCCTTGGTCAGGTTGTAGGCTGCTTTGGTCACATGACCAGCCTGGTGCAGGACCCTCACGATTAGAGTCTGGTCCAGAAGGAGACAAAGGTCATGGTCATCAACATATGATAACATTCTACTTTATTGAAATACTGTGTCCTTTAAAAAAAGGGCCAATCAGCACTCGCTACATCAAGTGCTGGAAGTATACAGTAAATTAATGATATGCACCCATTGATTCTTGAAGAACATAACTTATAAATGCCTGATGAGCTTAGTTCACCTGTCGTACCCCGTCAGAACCCAAAATAGAAGCTTGTTTTACTCCAACGTTTTTAAACAAAGTAAATGATAGCTTCAAAACAAGGTTAAAACTATCATCTTGATATCATGGATGGTCAGTCCTTGCATCCATAGCTCTGTTTATGCATTTGAGATTGGTTACATATCTCCAGCCCCATACCTCATCTTATTATCCAAACGGGCAGGTTTTTACCAAAACAGGGGCGGGGAGTTAGCTTTGTTATTGTTTCTGCTGCTAATGTTGCATTCCAACCAAGGTACATGAACAGAGACACAAACTGAAAATGATCCCCACCCAATTAAAAAAAAAAAGCAGCAATTGTGATGTAGTGCTAGTACTCTTTCTGTTTTACCTGTGTGTGTGTGTGTGTGTGTGCGTGTGTGCGCGCGCGTGTGTGTGTGTGTGCGTGTGTGCGCTCCAGGGTTTCGTTTAGCCGGTAACAGCCGGCTTTTGGGCTGTTATTTTTTTGTTGAAAAGCCGATAAATTAAATTGCCACCGGCGAATTGTCTGGGAGAACAAAAAAAAATACCATTGTGAAATAATAAATAATGCTTTTTATTCATTGATGGAAATCCATTTGACCTTCATGCTTATTGGTCTATGGGTTCATTTGCATAATTTAGTGGAATTAAATTGGCACCTGTGTATATTCGTTATATATATGTGGTCCTCTGTAGCTCAGCTGGTAGAGCACGGCGCTTGTAACGCCAAGATAGTGGGTTCGATCCCCGGGACCACCCATACACAAAAATGTATGCACGCATGACTGTAAGTCGCTTTGGATAAAAGCGTCTGCTAAATGGCATATTATTATTATATTATTATTATATATATAATTTATCACACACGCACAGAATACAGACAGAGCCTTTGAGTGGAAAATATGTCAGACAGCACTTTTACAAGCCCAATCATTGAAACAATTATAAATGCAATCGTGTGTTATTTTTTTGGGGGGGGGGTCATGATTAAAAAAAGCTAGTACTTTTATTTATCTACTGGTAACTGAAGCGCGCTTCATATTCATCATTCAAATGTATAGGCAACAGAAGTCATGGCTTCATCAGCGCGCCACACACCACTTTGCAATGAGCTGGAGGCAGTATGCATTTAAAAAAAACATTTAATTGTTTGAAACCTGAACGTTTCACTACATATTATGAGGCATGTTTTACCTTGCTTCAAAGTAGCCTAGCCAAAGTCCGACCATATCTGTGGAGGCAATTATTTTTTATAAAGACTTCCATATGTAGCTCAGTTGGTAGAGCATGGCGTTTGCAACGCCAGGGTTGTGGGTTCGCTTCCCACGGGGGGCCAGTATGAAAAACATTTTAATTTTTTTTTTTTTTAAATGTATGCACTCAAATGTAAGTCGCTCTGGATAAGAGCGTCTGCTAAATGACTAAAATGTAAAAGAAAAAGTAAAATACGCCATTGAAACCAGTAGCCTATTTCTCTCATGTTCTACCGGTTTACAACTTTCTTTCATTGTCCGGTAGCCTAATGCCTTGTGTGTTGCTCTAATGTTAAGAAATAATAGTTTATTACCATTTTAAGGGAAAACGTTCTGATCTGCTGCTTTTTAACGTTTTGTTTTATGTAGCCTTGGCGTAACTGCATGTATGAATTTGGGACCTATCGTCCCAGAGTCGGTTAGGGCTATTTCTTTATCGACAAGCTGACCAATAGAACATGTAAACGTTTCTACTACGGGGGATAGTAGACTGACGGCTAAAGCTTTCCCTAAGTAGATTAAATTGCCAAAATTATATAGCCTAATTAACATACTCCTGTCTATACAGAAATAAATACAATCATTCAAAATAGGCTACTAAAGAATGTTTTGGGATCGTTGCAGCCCAAATAAATGCTTCACAGAGTTCAAGTAACAGACATCTCAACATCAACTGTTCAGAGGAGACTGTGTGTATCAGGCCTTCATGGTCGAATTGCTGCAAAGAAACCACTACTAAAGGACAACCAATAATAAGAAGAGATTTGCTTGGTGAAAAATCTGTCGATGTGCCCTTAAGCAAGGCACTTAACCCAAATTGCTCATGTAAGTCGCTCTGGATAAGAGCGTCTGCTAAATGACTAAAATGTAAATGTAAAAATGTATTGAGACACCATCCAAAGTATAATGAATAACATCATCATGCTCAAAGGGATATTCAATGTCTGCTTTTTTAAATGTTTACCCATCTACCAATAGGTGCCTTTCTTTGCGAGGCATTGGAAAAACTCCCTGGTCTTTGTGATTGAATCTGTATTTGAAATTCACTGCTCAACTGAGTGACCTGACAGACAATTGTATGTGTGGGGTACAGAGATGAGGTAGTCATAAAAAAATAATGTTAAACACTATTATTGCACACAGTGTGAGTCCACGCAACTTATTATGTGTCTTGTTAAGCAAAGATATACTCCTGAACCTAATTAGGCTTGCCATAACAAAGGGGTTGAATACTTATTTACTCAAGCTATCAGCTTTTGATTTTTAATTAAATAAATAAATAAATAAAAATACATAATTCCACTTTGATATTAAGGGGTATTGTGTGTAGGTCAGTAGCAAAAAAATCTAAATTGAATCCATTTTAAATTCAGGCTGTAACAACAAAATGTGGAAAAAGTAAATGGGTGTGAATACTCTCCGAATGCACTGTAGTCATGCATTGAACGGTCTTTTTTTCAAACAGTGATTTGAGTTATATTATTAGCTTAAATGATGAATATACAATTTAATCATCACAATAGGAATAGTAGGCTATCTTACATAAGTCTGCCAACGCGAGGATGCACGGAATGCTTTATTATAAAGGTGCATTTTTATGGTGAAAATGTACTTCCCCAAACATGAAACTGACATGCCGCCTATGCGTAGGCTGGTGATTTTGCTGTTCGTTACTCGTCTTGTTGGCTGAGGAAAAGTAAATGTGGACAGTTACTGTAACACCTCACTGCATCCTCGACTTGCATGTTCTGTGTAAGATTAATTACCGTCATCTAAATGTGATTTCTGTCATTCTGAACACCTTGGGTGGACGCCCTAAATCAGATTACGCACCCAATGGTTCTGCTGTCTGATCCCATTGGTCAGGTACATTTTTCAAATGTCCAGTAAATTAAAAAATGCTCTGCCTGGTCCAAATGTCTCGGCGCCACATTTTTTCATATAACGGAAACCCTGGTGCATGGGGTGTGGTTGTGTGGTGTGTGTGTGTTGTGTGGTTTGTGTGGTTGTTGGTGTTTGTTGTTGGTTGGTTGTGTGTGGTGTGGTGTGTGTGGTGTTTGTGTGCATTGGTTGTGGTTGGTGTGGTTGTGTGTGTGTGTTGTGTGGTGGTGTGTGTGGTGTGTGTGTGTGTGTGGTTGGTTGGTGTGGTGTGTGTGTGTGTGAGTTGTGTGTCACAGATGTGTGTGTGTTTGATACCCAGTTTGGTGGTTGTTGGGTGGGGGGTTGTGTTTGTGTTGTGGGGGCTGCTTTGTTGGAGTTTGGGGTTTTTTTGGGCTAGGAGATCTTTGTGGGTCTTGGTCCTCCCTACTTCTCTTCCGCCCCTCTGCCTCCACTCCCTCCCCTTAAGAACTAATCCCTTCGATACCATCCACCTTCACCTTTGAGAGAAAACAATATGACAGTCGCTGCTATGGTACTCACTGTGGTATAAGTAGGATTTATAGTTGTTATAACTGACCAGTGATATAAAGGTCCCACTAGTGGACTCAGTCATGCAATCCTGTCATCAGTCTGGACAGATCCCCTAGTTGGATCGTCAGATTCATCAATAAACTAGTGAATACGTCGTTAAAGTAGAGTAACCTAGGGAATACAGTCACTGATGTGAATAGGAACTAAGTATAAACCTAGTTATACATACGTCACGGGATTAAATAGGACTAGAGTCAAACCCTATTGTGGAAGACGCAGGGATAACATCTTCAGGACTAGAGTCAACCTAGTGGAATACATCAGGTTAAATGGGACTAGAGTCCTCCAACCTAGTGGAATAGCAGATTAATAGGACAGAGTCCAAAACCTATGGAATACTGCTAGGGATTAAATAGGACTAGAGTAAAAACCTAGTGGATACAGTCAGGGATTACATAGGACTCTAGAGTAAAACCTAGTGAATACAGTCAGGGATTAAATAGGACTAGAGTAAACCTAGTGGAATACCTCACGGGTTAAATAGGATAGAGTAAACCTAGTGGACATTCCCTCAGGGTATTAACATAGACTAGAGTAAACAGTGATACAGTCAGGGATTTAATAGGACTAGAGTAAAAACCTAGTGGAATACTGTCCAGCGATTAATAGGACTAGAGTAAAACCTAGTGGAATACAGTCAGGGATTAAATAGGACTAGAGTAAAACCTAGTGGAATACAGTCAGGGATTAAATAGGACTAGAGTAAAACCTAGTGGAATACTGTCAGGGATTAAATAGGACTAGAGTAAAACCTAGTGGAATACAGTCAGGGATTAAATAGGACTAGAGTAAAACCTAGTGGAATACTGTCAGGGATTAATAGGACTAGAGTAAAACCTAGTGGAATACTGTCAAGGGATTTAAATAGGACTAGAGTAAAACCTAGTGGAATCTGTCAGGGATTAAATAGGACTAGAGTAAAACCTAGTGGAATACTGTCAGGGATTAAATAGGACTAGAGTAAAACCTAGTGGAATACAGTCAGGGATTAAATAGGACTAGAGTAAAACCTAGTGGAATACAGTCAGGGATTAAATAGGACTAGAGTAAAACCTAGTGGAATACTGTCAGGGATT